GAGGGTCTGTGCAATCCTTCTGCCTAGTCCGCCATCTTGTCCCGCCTCCTAATTTCAGAATCTTAATCATTGCACATTCAGTTTGCTATATCTCTACAGAATCTCAAATACCAGTGCAGGGTCTGAGTAGGTCTGACTGAAACAGAGATGCTAGTGGAATGTGGAGGAGTTGTCTTGGAATCTTCTGGTTGGTCCTTCTTTGTTAATTTGAGGAGGAAACGGTAAGGGCAGAGAGTTTCATAGACTTAGAGGGTATAGATCTTTCGGGATATGAACTGGGAATCCCAGCAAGGGTTATGACCTCATCTGTTCAGGATTCCCCCTGGGTATATTTAGGATGGTAATAATGAAGATAATTAAGATTATCTTTCTGTCATGTCCACAGGAGGATGTATTAATACTATTAATGATAAAATAGTAGTCACAAACTCATGGACTCATAGCACAGAATCATCATACAATGATAATCAACAACAATTAGCAGTGAAAAAAAGAGTTCCTTTGCAATCTGAAGGGTTATGTTCTTGATATACCACAGTGTATGAGGATCTTGAAGTCTTATGAGGTAATAGACTTGGGACAACTATAGTCCCAAGTGACTTTCTGAAAGTCCTTATGAATAGTTTAAAATTCATTAAAATAAAGCAATATAGGCAGACATATGCCAGTGAAATTATCAGTGTCTTTCTACATCTCAAATTAGCAATATTAGATATGTACAATTACTTTCTACCACTTTTCTGGTAAGAAAATATTAGCTCATAAAATGCGATTGTTCTGTTGCCATAAGAAAAGCTCTTTTCCCAGGGTTGACTCTCCATTCAATTGCCTTTCTTATTCTATGAGTTTCTGATCTTTAGCTTTCAATTTCTGTTGTAATTCTAGAGATTTAAAATAGCCTCAATGGTTATTCTGGGGAATGTTCAATTTAAGCTGCTTTCCATGATTGTGTAGTATGTCTTAAATTCCCTTTAAAACACACAGGCTGGTTACAAAGCCTCAGCTCTGCCCATGATAATGTCACCCAAGGCCCATCTCAGCGGTCACCTTCTTAAGGGGAGCACAATTCTAAGTCATAAACAAAATTACCACAATTTCCTTTATTTCTCCCAGGACTTTCTTCTGTCATGCTTTTACTTCTTTTAATTTCTAAGCACTCACTATATTCCTTTTCCAACTATGCCCAACAAGAGAAGCTTCATGGATACCAGAAATGAAGTTCTAAGCAGTGCTATGCAATAGAAACATAATGTGAGCGACAAATGTAATTTAAAATTTTCTAGTGGCCACATTAAGGAGTTATAGTGGCATAGTACCTAAGGCTTTTGACTGCTAACCAGGAGATTGGTGGCTCAAACCCACCAGCTTCTCCATGGAAGGAAAATAAGGCAATCTACTTCTGTAAAGATTTACCGCCTTAGAAACCCAATAGGGGTTGCTATGAGTCAGAATTGACTTGATGGTAGTAGGTTGTTTTGCTTTTGTCATTGGCCACATTAAGAAAGTAAAAAGAAACAGTGAAATTAATTTCACCAATATATCCAAAGTACTATAATTTCAACATATAATTGACATAAAATTATTTTTTTTTCATATTAAGTCTATGAAATTTGCTGTGTATTTTATACTTAAAGCACATCTTATTTCAGACCAGCCACATTCCAAGTGTTCAACAGTCATAAGATCTAGTGGCTATAGTATTGGACAGCACAGTTCTAGAGATTTTAAGAGAAAGATATATAGAAGGAAATCTGGATACCTCAGAATTTTGTGGAAGGGACATTTGTAGTTCAGTAAGATTAATATACCACAAATGTTGACTTACTTTCAATGGTCATCTTTTACTTTTGCAAATTAAGTTTAGATTATCTTTAAGTTTACAATTTTTAATAGTTTTATTCTGCAGGTTTTTTTTTTCCTTGTCTAGTGGTTTCCCCCAATGACAAGACTCTATGTGGCTATACACTGTAAACAATATGTGCATTGAAAATTATGGGGCCAAATAGCATTTCTGGATACAGAGAACTTGACCAGGTTCCAAGAAAAGTGCTTTTGGAAATATTAAAGTCTTAATTGGAGATACTTACTTGAAAAATAAATTGAATCCACACATTGTAAACATGATAGCCAAATACCCCACCACACCAAATGCATAACTGAGTTTGTAGATTAAAAGGAACCATTTGTAGACCAATCTGTGGATTGAAAAATTGGGAGAAACACAGGACATGATTTACTATAAATTATTTTATTTTTTTCAAGCACTGTTATAAATAAATTTCGAGAACTCTGTTTATTATATAAAGAGCATAAACATACCAGCTAAACCAAGTCTATGGTATTAATACAATATGCACAGGCAATATAGTAATAGTACTGCTATGCAGACAAGTTTATATGTCTATGCATATGCTAATTTACCTGTTCTTCACATAAAAATGGCCTTCAGGAGTGGGTACTTGTGGTAGTTAAGTTTGTGTGTCAACTTGGCTGGGTAGCTGGTAGTAGTTATTTCCCATAATGAGACTGGCAATCAACTCCATAGTGGGATCTACCACAAGCAGCTGAGTAGCTGCTTTAGGGATGTGGTCTGCTTCCCGTATATAACAAACAGCTTTGGCAATGGTCTCCAGCTTATGGCACACTTGAAACCTGCATGTAGCCATGTTGTTGTTCAGCAGCCTGCCATGCTCTGCTGACCTTGGGACTTTTAATGGACTTGAATTAATGGCCTGCAGTGTGGTTTGGTAATATCGGGACTGTGCCTTTTTAGTTGTTGACCTTGAGTTTGTCAGCCTCAGCAGCGAGCAGCTGTCTGACTGAAGAAAAGCTTCCAGCTTTAGTGGGCCAGGAGTAGGAGGCTAAGCTGAAGTCCAAGGTGAGGGACTTTCCCCCAGCCCCTAGAGCCTGGCACTTTGAACTCAGACTTAAAGCCTCCAAACAGTAAGAGAATAAACTCCTGTTTGTTAAAGCCATCCCATTTTTGATATCTTCCGTTAGAGTGGCACTAGGTAACCAAAACAGTACTCTACCTGGAATCCTGCTACCCTATCCTTATCTCCTAATTTGTCTCTGGAGTTCCCAAACCCACTGCTATCGAATCAATTCTGACTCATAGCGACTTCCATTGGGTTTCCAAGATGGTAAATCTTTATGGAAGTAGATTGCCCCATCTTCCTTCTGCTGAGCTAGTACTTTCAACCACCAACTTTCTGGTTAGCAGTCAAATGCCTTAGGCACGGTGCCACCAGAGCTCTGGCTCTGGGTTAGTAGAGTGGTTTTTGGCAGGAGTACCTTGGAAGCAAGCAAACAATGTGATGAGAAGTCAAAAAGAGAGACCCCTCTCCTCAAGTTTTCATCTTCCCTCCTAATATTGTGCCCTTCAGCCCCAGCACCAGTGGAGAAATTATCAGTAGTAGACCTAGCTTCTATCCATCTGCTGTCTCCTCTCCACTCAAAGAGCCCCTCTCCTAGCTCTTGGGATGACATTACAACTGAGCTTCAGTGTTGTTTCTTTCTGCTATGTGCATAGGTTCTAGCATTTACTATGACATCTCCTTAGACTATTGCTTCTTCCCAAAGGGTCTAATTGGAGAAGTGAGAGGATAAGGATGGATAAGGATAAGGATAAGGATAAAGATAGGATAAGGATAAGGATAAGGGTGATTGTGGAGATGATATGGAAGAAAGACATTTACCCTGCTCGTTTTCATCTTCAATAGCAGTAAAAGCCTTTACAGAAAACTACAGAAAAGGTTGCTTCATGCCTGGAAGAATATGGAAAGAGGCTGGGAGCTCAGTTCCATTCCCAGGAGGCCCAGTAGAAGGGTTATGACAATTGAAAATAAGAAGGGTTGGAAGGAGAGAGAAAGAAGCTGGGAGCCTGTCCTTGGTGCTCATGGAAGAAAACAAGGAGGTCGCTGGGGTGTTGCTCACAGTGAACAATGGCAGGAGGCCCTGTTTGCCTTCATCCTTTTCCCTCTATAGCTTCTTGAAGCCCCTCTCCCCCTTTTCAGACCAAACTTTGTTTACAGTCTTGCTCCAGAGATTTGGCCCAACTCTCCAACTTCCAACCTGTGAAGCTCGGTCCCCAACTCTCTCATCTTCTTCCTTTTGGAGCCATCTCAATAAATGCTTAAATATATTGATATCTGAATATTATTGTAAAAGATGTTCTGTTTTATTGAATTCCAGTTGGAAGGAAGCTTCTAAAACATTATTGTTTAAGTGGCTGCTTGTGGGCTAGCCTGGGAAATGAGTTGTCACACATAGCATTTCTATGGTGCAGTGCTTTCCTCCTTCCAAACAACGGACATGCAAGGCCCATTGGTCTCTGCCTCTCCTCCACACAGGAGGTCAAATCCTGCCCAATGGGAGGGATAGGCAATGGTTATGTGATGTGAAGGGAGAAACTTGCATGGGTGGCACAATTCTGCTTATGGCCATTCTGCCTAGTCATTGTGGAGCTGTGTCACCTCCACAAGGGCCAGAGAGGGATGTTGGGGTCTTTCTGCCATGCTGGCTGCTTGAGCCATCAGTTCTTTTACTTTTCTAGATCATTGGTCAGTGCAGTCAGATGAAGGCAGGAGTTTATGTTGCAAAATGGGGTGGTGATGGGAAAACAGACAAGCTCTGAGATGCCCCATACCACCATCAGCCAGCACCAGTATGTGGGTTCCTTTGAGCTCCACACTTTCTAAGCATCCTCTCTTCTTGCTTCAAGGGGCCCATCTCGAAGTTTGCCAGCAGTAGAGGCCTTCCATGACTAACAGATTTCTAAACTGAAGGCCTTCTCTGGGTAAAGCTGTTTGTTTAATTACACCACAGTCTGCTGTTGAGACCATAGGTTTTGCAGTCAGGTAGTGTTAGATTTTATTCTGGGCTCCACTGCATACCACCTGTGGGACGTTGGTCAATTTACTTGGCATTTCTTCACTGATTTCTTTATTTATAAAGTGAGGATAGGGACACTAGCTCTTAGAGTAGTACTGAAGATTATGTGAGAGAGTGTCTTCATGTTTAAATGACTTGGCATACTAAATGCTCAATATATTATGTCATTGTTATGAATGTATTAGATTTCCCGACTCTCACCCTCCTTCTCTCAAATCTTCCTGCTTATTGGAAGCACAACTTTCCAAGAGCACTAGACCCCAGAATGTCTCTGCTACTCAGACTTACACTGTGAGGCAGAAAAGCCAGAAAAGAAATTTTGTGGCAGCCACCACAAAAGAAAATCGGTCTTTGGGTTGAAATTGATATGCCCAACTCTTTGTGGCTAGCATGTAGCCTATTTTTGAGCTTGAACTTCATTGCTTGACAGATAACCCCAAGTGTCTTAGAGAGGAAACTCACTTCCCCTTCTCTGATACTCTGTCCCACAGTTAAGAAAAAAACAAACTAAACTTATTGCTCTCCTGTCAATTTTGATTCATGGTGACCCTGGCAGAGTAGGATGGTTCTATAGGGTTTCCAAGGCTGCAAATCTTTATGGAAGCAGATTGCCACATCTTTCTCCTGGGGAGTGCCTGGTGGTTTTGAACTGCCAGCTCTTTTGGTTAGTAGCCCCAAAGTTAGGAATGGTTTAAAATGCTACAAGGTTTTTGCACTTTGTTGGTGTCAAAAGCCACTTCTTTGGTGTGTGCCTTCTGAGCAAATACTGACTTGCTTTCACCAACCCTTCTCACTTGCAATCTTGCTTCCAAATGGAAAATAGCTAAGGTGCAACTCATCTATTACATGATCATTAAACAAAGATCCATAAAGATCCACAGGACTTAAACCCAACCAAACTTGCTGCCGTTGAGTCTGACTTATCCTGACCCTACAGGACAGAGTAGAACTGCCCCATTGGGCTTTCAAGGCTATAATATTTATAGAAGTAGATTGTCACACTTTTTCTTCGAAGGAACAAGAGGTGGATTCGAACTGCCAACTTTTCAGTTTGCAGTTGAGCACTTAACCACTGCCCCATCAGGGCTCCTTCCTTAGGACTTATATAAGAGTTCTTTTATTCTGACTTCTTCTCTAGCAGAAAAGAGGTCTTCATCAACCCCTCCCACTGTTGTCCCACTGTAAATGGCAGCTGGTCTCCTTTAGAATGTCAGTGGTGCCTGTGGGCTCTCAGACCGTACAACAGGGCTCCGCTCTGTGGAGGCAGGAAATGCTGACATGGAAGTGTCGTGAGTACAGAAGCAGAGGGCATAGGGCCTTGGCCATCTAAAATATATGAGCCATGGAGTGTAATGAGGCAGGATTTGGGTACTTTTTAAATGAAGTCCTCTGCATTGAGAGCACTGATGTGCACAGAAACACTGCATCAAGCTAAAGTAATTCCCTATATAGCAGAAAAGTGAACTGTTCTCATTGAAATATTACAATGATTATAACTGGCAGGGGGAAAACATATTGTTTCTTTCAAAACTCAGAGTGCTGTCATCGATCTTAGGTAACTTACAACCTTTTATAAGCAGAAGAGAGCATGCAATTGTTTCACTTTGAAGAAGGATTAAACCAGGCCATACAAAGGCTAGCCACGACCCCAAGCTGGCCAGTTTGAAGGTCTCCTAATACCATTCTAAAGCTCTTCCCAAATGGGGTTAAATACCCATAAACCTGAAGGTATTTATTTACCTTTCAGTTTTTATCATTCCACTTATTTACCTGATTTCTCTCACTGCATATTTTTCCTTCTTCTCTAAGCTAAAAGGAAAAGCTGATATTTACCTCTCTTGCATTTTAAAAGAGTAAAAACAAGTATATAAATGACTAAATAATCATACAAGTATCACACAGGACTATATGAGTTACTCTCCAACAGAGATTAAAAGTTGACTTTTTTTTTTTTTGTTACCATTTAACATTTCACACACTTTTTTTTTTTTAAAAAAAAGAAAATAAAACACTTTATTGAAGGAATAATTATATTTCTTGAAATGGAGGGCCAGCACCTTAAGAGCAAATGCATGTGTGTCCTCCCTGGTGGAAGCAGCATTCAGTTTTTATTTGGTCAACAAAAAAGGGAGAGAGTTTCATGTCAAAGAGCATAAGGAAAGGGAGGACATTTTATGAAGAGCTGTCCAATCACACACTTTCTTAACAACTCCAAGCCAAACATTAATTCCGTCTCTCCTGATACTACTTGACTAGGGCAGCATTTCTGAAGCACACAAGGTAACATTTTACAAATTTTTATCCATCTCATTTCAGTTTATATGAATGAGGATTATGATCTTATTTACAGAACAAGGAGAATGACAGCAAACTTGTAAGCCCATTATTTGATTATGATGCTCTATGGAAAGATTTTTGAATGACATGATGGACTCCTACAAACCTCAAGAGATTGGCTATAGTCATTAAAATGATAATTGAAATATTAAAGCCTCATTTGTTATGAGTGTAATAAATTGTCCATTACTTATGATTTATCAACTACAGGTTGTAATATAATCTTCTAACTCTTGTTCTTATAGCAGAACTTACAGAGAGCTAAAGCAAAATGCTGAGCTAAAAATAAAGATGCATAATGTGCTCTAGAGTTTTTAAATAATGGTTTCACTTCTCTTTCTCCTTGCCTTCACTAGCATAATGTCTGAAGTAGTGAATTTTACAGGGCAGGTCATAATCACCAATAAAATGAATGTGAACTAAACAGCAGTATAGCTAATTTCCAAAATGCTTTGTTACTAAAGGTAAAGATGTTAATACCTATGACTTCAAGAAATTGGAAATTAGACCTATTTTCCAATGTTTAAAATAAAGCAGGTTGTGAAGAATGAATGAACGAAATACATACCGTGGTGTTCTCCCTGAAAGGGGTTTTCGGGTAGCTCTGAAGAGGATGTAACTGGTAATAACAGAGAATATTCCCCACATAGACAGAAACCGCCACCAGTAAAGTTTTATAGTGAAATACAAAGGGACAACCCACATCTGCAACAGGGTCACCAGCTGTCGGAGAAATGACAGAAAAACTTAGTCAATTACTCAGGGCCCAGGATGGCATCTCCATTATTAAATGATTCAGAAGCTATTTAGGGTGGGGCGTAGGGAGGGGAGGACCACCTTCAACATTATTGCTGTAACATGAAATGGTCTACCATCAAGCTCTAAGCTATTCCTATATAGGCAAAATTTGGTACAATTATTATAAAATTCAAAGGGGAAATAAACCCAAATTCTCCTCTCTTGTCACATTCTTTCTTCTGGATATTTCAAACGATAGCAATTTGCGGCCTTGACAGCTATGTGATTTTGGACATGAGCCTCATGTTAGCTGTTAAATGGGACAACAATGCCGGCCCTGCTTCCCTGTGCTGACTGAAGCAACAAAGCCAGTTACCGCCGAGTTAACTCTGACTCATGTTGGCTCCATGTACGTCAGAGTAGAATTGTGCTCCACAGGATTTTCAATGGCTGATTTTTCACAAGTAGATCACCAGGCCTTTCTTCTTAGGCACTTGTGCGTGGATGCAAATGTCCAACCTTTTGGTTAGCAGCCTATTGAGTTAGTGGTTTGTACCACCCAGTGCCTCAGTGCTAAATGAGATCACAGACAGGAAGTCACTCTGAAAGCCACAGTGCACTACTTGGAGCTAAGGGGCTGCTGTTATTCTCGTCTACACATGCGAAAGTGCATAGCTTATATCAAAGGAGAAACTGTTGGTCAGTGTTTCAGAGCAGCTTCCAGGGCCAATTCTGCCTGCTGTTCCAGTGAGCTCTACAGTGCTAGCCCTTGAATCTCAGCCGTGGGGCCACTTGCTCCTGACTATTGGATTTTCTTTGCTATTCATAAGGTTTTCCCTGGCCAATTCTTTCAGAAGTGGACGGCCTCTTCCTTCTTCCTAGTCTGTCTCAGTCTATAAACTGGGCTG